AGTGAGAATTTCAGGATGTGTAGGATAAAGGTAGTGAATAAACTGCGCAATTATGAGAGATTTTGAGGCATATTAACAACAGTCTTCAACCTGTGTTTCTCCGCACCCGGAAGAGCACAACATTGCACAGTTCACCCTATTTGATGATGATCTTGATGATTTCTAAGAAAATATTCCGTCTTACCTTCTAAATCAAGAAGTTAAGACATTCTGGTATAACCCAATCCTTACTCCTACAATTCGTTAACTCCCGTATTCTGCCTATTATTCTCTATTGTTCCCCCTTAGTCTTTCCTGGGCTGTTGAAAAAAGACTATACCTTATTACGTAGGATGTTAAAGGTTGTCAGCAGGGTAAGCAACGTGCCACTTAACCAGCTTGTTAGTATTCTGGTTGACAGGCACATGAACTGATGTGAAAAATGGGCTAAATCCATTTTATATAACTCACAACACCCTCTTCATTCACAACTCTCCCCTTGTATCTCTCCAGGGAAAACCAGAAGCCTATATAGAAAACTATATGCTCGCACTAGTAAGTACAAAAACTCAACCATACGCTACTTATTGAACTGAATTTTTGATTTTTCCGTCGATTGATTGGGCCGAAGTGATTGGTCTCAGGTTGACATGTCGGCTTCTTGTGGATTCCACTGCTAGCCACCATTCACCAATTGCATACCCTACTTAGCTCGTGTTCTGTGCGATAAAGAAAGCATTAGGCGTGACACCTACAACTTATTAAATAGTCAGTAGAACAATTAGACTTCGTCTTCCCAACTCATATCATTTACAGGTACAACGTCTTCTTTCTTTCTTTTCCTTTCCTCTCTCTCTCCTTTATTTTCTGTTATGTTCTGCTTTGTTTCTTTCTTCCGCTTACGCCAGTAAATATGCAAGCATCTACTTTTCTAACACCTTCAAACGCTGTTCAACTTTGGCTTTGCCGACATGCTAATGAGTTGTTGTCGTAATGAACTGATATTTCCTTAATCTATGTAGAATTTTCTTCATTGATAATGTATTAACTGGATACAATACTGTAGTAAAATGCTGAGAATTCCATTCTGTATTCGCAAATAATGTCCTGGAATAAAACTTATTATTATTTGGCTCAAACCAACAATCGAAACTTTCATGAATTAATACCATGATTTTGTCTCACCACTTCTAACTCTTTTCCAATCTAATTTTACGACAGCTCACATCACTTGTCGAGAAAAACTATAGTAGTATATGTGTAGCACATGTCATCATCATTTGATGGATTCAGCTTCACAACCTCATCGATCGACTTAACCCCTATTTCTTAATAATTTACTCGCTTTTGCAGTAATACTATCAGGTTAAGTCTGCCCAGAAATCCAGGTCAGTTTACAGTTTCTTTTTTGATACAAGTGATATTTCGTTTCTCTTGTATTCTGATATTTTTGTTAAGGAATCTCAATGGGCATGCGTTTTGAATAACTTTTTTCGGAAGCTTTAGTTCTGTCTAGAGAGCCTCAGGGTTACAGATACGTCAAATGCGAGTGACAAGGAATTTAATTAAATTTCGTTTTTGTTCAGCAGGCATTCAACTGTAGAAACTCTCCACCTGGCCGTCCCATGTGGATTTCCTATGGCCTAACCTTCCTAAGGTCTCATCGGGCCTTCTTATTAGTATCACACAAAGAGAGGGGATTTTGGATTTTTTTGCAGTTCAAAAGTGAATTAAGCTATTTTTCACTACTGGTATCTGCATTCAATTCCTCATGCTAAGTGGTATATTACAGACAGTATTCTTAAGAGAAGAAATTCATCACCTCTGACAAAAAATTTCTCAAATGCTAAGAATGGTGTTCTGCAGTCGTCAGTTGGTCTACTGAATTCCTAAGGGCAAGGTATTGCACCTGGCAACTTCTGTGAACATATATGAGTCCACCTGCTCCTGTGGGGCTAGGTATGTTTGGCGTTTGACGCAAATTCTGTCTAAAAGGGTTTAAAAACTCTACCTCGCATGGCTGCAGAAAGGTTGTAGTGGCTCTATATGGAGTGCGATAATTGAAGACCTTGTCTAGACCAGCCAATGCATCTTGGCAACCGTCTCTTTTAGGGTGATTTATTAAATGTAGAACATCCTACTACAGACAACACGCTTTATTCTCCTTTGTATCACTGATGATCTAAGCGTTCAGATAGAGAAACGGGAGCTGTGTATGCAAAAGAAAATTTATTCAAGAACTTTTACTTTCATGGTAACAACCTTGTTAATTTCCACTAACTTGTTTGTGTTTTAGCTCTTTATAACTTTTGTATTTCCTTGAACTCCTAAGTAATTTCTTGTTTTCTTCCGTTTCTATGTGTATTCTGATAAGTCATTGAATAAATTATTAATCTTATTAGATAACTTTAATACAATTATTCAACTCCTCTTATACATTGACTAATATTAACAAAAATGATTATGACGGCTCATCACTTTGGTTACTACCCTCTTTCATGAAAAAGTGTACGTAACTGCAACTGTATTAAGAAGGACCTCTTCAGTGAACTACTTGTTTTTTTGTTTTCACTGATGCCTGGATGGGGATTATTCATAATTCAAAATGACTAAACTTTCCATATCTTCCACTTTCGACAGTCATGTCTTGCAACCACAAAGTACGAGTGAGTGGACTACTGCACTATAACTAGATAGCAGGTCTGCATCAAAGGTGACGTGATTTGTCAAATACTGAACGAGTCATCTATGCTCATTCTTAGAATTCTTTAGTAGCTGGTCCACTAAGTTTGGCGAGACTTCTGAGATATATAAAATGGTTCAATGACGCAACCATTTTATTCCCTATCTTTAAACTAGGAAATGGTTCAGATCTATCTTATGGCATTATTTCACATCTGACAGGGAAGAAGTGCATGCCAAACACACCAAGGTTGCTGATCAAAGTGTTCAAAAGACTTCATTTTACACAGCATTAAACATCATATACTTATGCTACATCAACGAAACATCACCCTGGTAACATACAAAGGGTGAAATACGTAAAATTATTAACTGAAATCTCAAAATTTTTAATCACTCAGAAGTGAACTGACGGAATGTTATTAACGTTTTCGCTGTAATATTTCAGATTAAAACGAGACAGAATCAAACCGGACGAATTCGCACTTCACTAATATAAAATTATGCCTAGTTTCAGCAACAAATATTGTGAAATATTTTGTCACTTAAGTCGTATTTGGAAACTAGTTTACATGAAAAGTAAGCAGTTCCTAACAGCGTCATTATACCCTAGGGTTCCTAGTGAAGAGCGAGAGTTCAAGAGCACTTCTTTGTTCCACCCAATTCTCTGCAATCCTCTTTAGCGGGTTCTACAAATGCCCATAGGCTATTGTCTTTCATAACAATATATCACTGGCAGATATATAGCCAATTAAATAGTCTCCGGTTTTCACCACAGCAGACCGAATAATTTAATGATGAAGATAAACAAGCATAGAACAAAGTTTGACAACCTGACATTTTTTGTTACGTATGTGACTGATATACCATAGGTGCAAATTTATCTCCATAACTAGTGGATCTCAACAAGTTCATCACAAAATATCGAAGTGTTATAAATTATTTAAATTAACACCTTTAATCTGGAAACCTATAAATATCAAAGTGACCTGTAACTTTTCATTTCTTATTTGAAATGTTTGAGTTTCACGCATCTTACAGTGTTTCAGTGAGGGAAACATCACTGCGACAAAATTAAATTAAGTCTTTATATGAATGTTTCTTCGACTACTACAAGTCATATTTTGGTTTGATAAGCTGGAAGAAGGATAGATTCAACTAATCACATTTCCGACAAAGGGGCAGTATTTTTATTTGCTCATGAATGACATTCAAAGCTAACTGATCACTACTTGAGTACCATATTTATTTACACTAAAATGTGGCTAGTTATACATTAGGAAAAACTAATCAACCCGTGATCAACTCGTAAAAACAAAACAGAAACTCAAGAGAAACTGAAAACAAGAATTAAAAATAACTATTGAAACTTCTGGTGTGACAATGGAATCGCTTCCCCATGAGAGAATGTTTAAACTGACGAAATGTGCTATAGTGAAAATGCTGTTAAGTTGTCAATAAATCTTGAAAATGTAAAAAGTAGAATAGCATGAGAAATATTCACATGCTATGAAAAGACCTATTCGTGGTCCCCAATAACGAAACTGCCTTTAAATTATTTGGAGTTTTATCAGAACTGTATTGTTCAACGTTCACTCTGTCGGACCACTTCTTTCTTCCAGTAGCATGTTCTTCCAAATGACGACAGCGAATACCAAGTATAACAACAATTACTACACTGACTTCTTCGAATTTAGTGAGAACTGAGAATGAAACAAACAACATACTAGTTGTAAGCCGTTTAAACTATGCATCCCTACAAGGTGCTCCTTCTTTGTGTTTAACACACATTTCCTTTACAGAAAATTTAATCATGGATCAACTATAATCAAAATATTTAGTTGAAATCAGTGAGTGCTTAATAAACCCAATAATTGAACACTCAAACTGTCAGGCTTTTGCAAGGGTTTTAGACTTTCTTTGAGCATATTCATATCCCTTCGAGCAAGGAGTTTGTTTTTTAAAGACAAACTCAAAGTTGAATAAGAAGATTCTATATTATCTTACAGTCTAGATTTCTCCATGAACCGAAATCAGTTAAGGAATTACTGAGAACTAAGAGGCACCTCACAGATATTTCATCCTCGTCTAGGACTCTTCAACTGCCTGACATAAACGCTCTGAGTTTGATTCCTGGAAAGATCATCTCTGAACAATTCTGATGAATTCAAATTTGGAGAAGACAACTGTCTATCGCCCTTGATTCACTAACTGATGTCGGTGCTTGAAAAAATCTTCATATGGTTTTGTTGTTTTAAATAAAGTTAATTCTACAGTCCTGCTGAATTGTATATACATATATACGTCATATTTACTTTTTATGTCTCTTTCCATTACAGACATAAAAATGGAGGTCATTCAGTGAATTCCAGAAGTCTTCCAACTAAACACTACCGTACGCGTGATTCAGTACTGACAACGTTGTTTCAGATCTCTCACATACGCACGGTCTATAATATATTTATTGCCGTTACAATAATCTTCTCTGCCAATACAGTCATACAAGATTTCATCGACCCAAAGGTCAACTTATATGCTTATAATATGGATATCCTGCGATTTGCATTCGGTAATATAGGTGATGTTTTTCGCATATGGGTTGCAATGAAGTTCTCTACTATTTTTATTCCATTCTGGGGGTTCTTCTATGGATAACGTATAGACCCAATATCGGAAAGAAAGTATGTTCATTAGATTGGATATTTCTAATATGCTACATACTTTACCAGGTAAGTTAACAGCTGGGTTTGTATTATTTATTGGTGTACTGTATAACTCCACGTAAACTGTATCAGCTATGACAAAAAAAATATTCAAATAACTTTAGTTGCATATCCACAGTGAAAAAGTGTAACCTCTGTAATAGCTTTAGTATCTGGGATAGACTATTTCCACAGGTTAGTGTTTATCAAAAACAGGAATTTGGGTTGACCCACAAAAGGCCACGTTGAAATCCGAAGCACTTACTGTCATGTAACAGTCTGCGTACTGTGTACATGGAAATGATGCATCATAATCCAAAATATACCAGACAAAGATTTTTGTGCTAACGTGACTGATAGTTAGGAAATTAGGATTGAAATTCATTTTATGGTAAATTAGATTATGCTGGTCCTATTTCACTGTTCTACAACCCAAAGATTATCTACCATTCTCAGAGGGAAATGAAAAGTATTCAGTGATTTTTTCAATGAATATTTAGGAGTCGGCTGCATATGACTAACTTCATCATCTAACTTCGTCTTTTATCCGACTACCTGAGTGAGGCTGTTTAAATTAGTACAGAATACAAATGCGTCTGCCCCATTTTTTATCTTCATCTGTTGTCCCTAGAAATCCTCGTTATGTTTCAAATTTTGTCTGAGTTCATATTCAATCCTATGGGTCACCTCATAATGTGTTGTTCCTTCCTCTTTTCCTTCATTATTACTCATTTAATTAATTGGTTAAGTTAATACATGAAAATAACACAGTTTACTGATGTCCTGACAGTGTCGTCCTTACCTTTTTACTTTCGATACTGCTATTACTTGAATTAACCACGAAAAGTATTCGATTTCTGTCACTTTAACTTAGTTATGTAGCAAGAGACATGTTTTCTGCGAGGTAATCTGGTGATGAAAAGGTCGTCTTTGGAAGTAGTAAAGCTACACTATTAGTCTGAAAACTTCATACCTTCATTTGTAAAGTTTATTTCATTCAACGACTGTTCATCAGGATCTTTACTGTGAATAATACTTCCTAAAGTGTTTTTAAACTTATACTTCGAAAATCTCCCAATATACCAATAAGTAATTTCTCAAACTGTTCGCATGTATCTATATGTATATAAACATATGCATATGGCTCTCATTATTTTTATCGAACCTCGTATTTGCACTCTGTTAGACCACTATCGATTGATACTTGCACAGATGAACACATTTTTAAATCATGTGACAGTGATAAAATGTATTTCATAGAATGGATTATTTTCAGAGTGCAATATTAAGCATAAATCTATGATTGATATACATCCATTGTTGTTCATGTAAACTATATATTATCTATTTGCAGTTTACTCACCCCTTAAAATAGTTGACTTAAAGTTTCAGAATGAAAGTAAGAGCACCATGTAGGCAAGAAGCAATGTACTTACTGTTCGGCACCGGTTTGAACGTGATATATCAAAGTCTCGTTGTTAATGGGTTGCCATACACTCTCTACATTGTAGTCTCATTGAGTTTTTCCTCCGCCGTTACTCCCAGGCATCGTTTATCTTTATCGACCTATTATATATTAAACACCATTACTTGGCATCAAGATATCAAGGAACTCACTTTTACGTTAGCCTATTCACTTAGTATTAGATCGGTTTCTTCATGAAGAAATAAGAGATTCCAAGAAAACCGTCGTTACTGAGAGTGAAATACGTTTGGGAACGTTTGAAAATCAAAGGGCAATGAATATCTGGCGTCTAAGTAACGTTACTGCTAAGAAACTGACAAACATGACACAATCTTTAGATTCTGTTTCGCGTGATGATAATTTTCCTGTCTGTTAATCAGACCAAGGAAAAATAAATAATACCAATTAGATTGGTGAGTTACATGTTGTACAAAATTAGTGAATTAGGATAACTAAGTCTTTATAACCGGATTTAAGCTGAATTGAAAGAATTCAGCATATTTCGCACTGTGAAGCTGATAAATTGCATTGAAACTCGAATGGCGTGTATCACTTTTCCTTACTACGAAATCTATGAATATAGACCTTCACGTACTTTTCATTTAAAATCCCTTTCCTAGGAAACTTCTAGATTTCCCAGGACTAGTCCATCAATTTTTTCTCAGTTTGTTCAACCACTTCATTCCGTTTTCTGAGAATAGTGTAAACAGAATAAACTTAAAGAAAGTGAAATCCTAGGCTTTTATCAGTTTTATATAAATTCTACAGGATTCATAGCCATTTTTTGAAGTTTTAATCATAAATACATTCCATAAATGAACCGATAGCTACTCACATAAAGGCTGATCTTCTGTATAAAGATATTAAATACATTCTTTTTTGACCTGTATAACGATACCAGTTAGTTGACTAGACGAGTTTATTAAAGCCGGTAATCAGTGTTTTGTGTAATTCGGTTTAATTCTTAGATGAAATGACATAATTTATCGAAATGAAAGTAGGCGTGGACTCAATCTAAAGCATTCGAACACTGGGACCATATTTTCCGAACCTGAGTTAAGCAGATTTCTTCTGAAATGCCGTATACTGATGTTCGGCATTTGTAAGCAGTATATATTCCAACATATCTGATAAAATTCAAATGAGCATCTGATTAGAGTTCGAGCAAGGAAAATGAGGGAAATCGGTAATCGATAAAGAAATCACTAATAGTTTCTGCTAATTGGAATTTCAAAGTAAGTTTGTTGGATGTAGATCGCATGACAGACATATTTACACTAGTTTACTCCTTTTTTAGTATTTTAATAGGTACTAGAGTAGTATTTTTTTAGGCTGCATCACACTTTGAACGAAGCTTCACGCTGAGAGTTGAATATATAATGTGAAGCCTTGTAGTCATGAGACCACGAAAGCACTTTAGCTGAGAATGCTACTTCTTATCGAAACAATGAAAGTTCGGTAACTGTCAGTTTTGAAACTAGCAGTGCCAGGTGAATTCACTGAAGGATGTCAGTATCATGGCTCTAACGTACGATTCTATGTTTACTGTACATTTTGAAAATACTTAAATGAAATGATTTAGTTCATAGTATGGATTGTGATAGGCTTTTATATATATGATGTCACCTTAGTGATTAAAAACAAAGCTCCTCCCGTTCTCAATGAAAACTTTCCCCTATAATCAAAATTTGTATTTCGAAACATTTTTGTCATTATAAAATTGAGATACTTTCTGTTAACTGTCAAAACACTGGCCAACAGATCTGTCCACATGTAAAGTAGTGGTGAATTTTAGTGGTTGAAATGAACTTGTTTGTTCAAGTTGTACATAGTTCATCATGAAACTAAAAAAACCGGTGAGTTAATCTATAAACTCAAGTTCTAGTGAATTATTCAGATATCAGTAGGTTACAGAAAATATGCCAGATACCAGATTTATTGACGCAAGGATAATGATGACTGTAAAGTTGAAACCGAAATCCATAGGAAGTCAGACATATGCAGTCACTCAGTTGGATTTTTTGGTAAATGTCTATAAAATGGGATTACCACTTCATTCAATTAAGGATTTGCGCAGCTGATTCAAGTATGTGAAGGATTTCCCTGTGGGAATTTCATATCTCATGTCTTACAAACTTCTTTCCAGTAGTGATTAACTCACTTGAAAATATTGAAATCAGCTTTTTATGGAAAAGTACTTAGAGCCTCACTACAATCCGACTGCCAGTGCAGTTCATTTATGTCTTCATCAGTATCGAATTCTTGAAGACAGTGAACCAAACTACAGTATGTGAAACTTTCCTTCATCAAACCGTACACCATACAGTGCCAACGTAAACACTTTGTTGTTCTTTGTTACTTCTTCAGAAGTGTTGTAAACTCTTTACAAATGAGTTTTTATTTCAAAAAAGTCACTGGAAAGCACTTCAAAATGTTATTATTACATATGTAAAATCAAGATTTCTGGAATAGACTCTACATTCTGTTTGCACACCCATCTTGTTCACAACAAGCTAATGAAAGTACCCATGTTGTCTATTGTGGAGTAGAATGCAGCACGGTAGCCACTTGCATATTTGTTGATATGATTCTCCAAAAGTACTAATTTCGATAAGGCGAGAAAGACGAAAGTTGCATGAAGAATCCCTTAAGCACCTGAAGGGTATGTATGAAATCTGTAGGAATTACGTCTGGGCAAGGGTAAATTAGCGGCTGTACTTACGAGACTTAAGTTTTGCATCAGTCCGACAGACACAGAGATACAATTTAAGCAGTTATGACGTCAGATTCAAACTTAAAATCTATAGATAAAACAGGTTGGTTAGAGTCTAAGCTGGCTGATACAGGTAACCAATGCCACTCTCTAGGATTGCGAAGTGTCTATACTAAGGCCACAAACTGCCATTGTAGAAACCTATATGTAAATGATGATATTGCCGTATTTGGGCCTGTCAAAGATTGTGGTATTGTTATGATAAGCAAATATGATTACGTGAATAAATTGCACACAGCTTTCAATGTTCCAGTGAAATTTCGGAAGGAAAACAAGAATAGCATTTGAAAATAAAGTAAGTAAATGTCCTCAAAAAATTATTAAGCAGAAATTGGTTACCTATCAAACGTTTAATAAACCTTCCGTTTATGCACAGTCCACCCAGAAATACACTATCAATTTGATCTTTGTTGTTTTTCGAGTTTTATCGAAATTTATCACAGTGGTTACATGTATAAAGCGGTAAATGTTTAAAGAAACAGTTTATCACTCATCTGCGACTTTAGTTTAGTTTGAGCCTTGAAGCTTCAGTAACAAGAGTATGCTTTCTACGGTATGTGGTTGCTATTCTCATTGAATTAACCATACAAAATGTGAAATCTTTGTCATATTAAAAATTTAAGGAATAAACCAATGGAGTTGTTGAAAAAAATAAAACAGCAAGCTTGAGAGGAGATAATGTAATTCAGAACATAAACTATTTTCAGGGTCTTGTTTGCAGGGATTTGACTTACATTAAATTAGGTTTCATTGCTAACCAATATCATTTAGGGAATCATTAAGAACCAGTTACTAGCGGACAACTTTCTCCGTCATCAGGACGCACCCACGACTTCGCTGATGATTATCCCCAATACTTGAAAAGTGGTCACGTTACTATTCAACCACTACAGCTGAATATAATGGTTTATGGATTCTAACTAAAGAAAATTCTCGAAAACATGCATCTCTGAATAATTTATCCAACCGGTTTACAAATTATGGTTTTACGGATTTTTTTGTCGGATTTCTCATTAAATTCCTTTCGTCTAAGAGTTTGTTTTGGATGATATATCTCTCAAAGTTTTCTGACCAGTTTAAACGAAGCAATCAATGATGGCACTGTTTTGAAGTGACTGACTTGTTTATGAAAACGTTTAGTGGTGTTGTTAAAATAGCATCAAACGATTAATACAACTGACATATTAAGCAAATGTGGAAGCATTCATGCCCACCATAAAATAATGGGATGCATTTACTAGTTTTCCACAGTTGATATTTCACAGGAGTATTTTCAGACTAGAATAAACGGAGGCCTTTTGTGAACATTCTTAAGAAAAACAATCAAATGTTTATGAACAGGCTTTTAAGAATCCTCATTGAGGAAGAAATCGGTCTATCAATAGATCTTCTAAGTCAATTAATTTTTTTAACATATAACCAGAACAGAATAATAATCAAAGTATATTCCGAAAGAATGGTCTATGTGTGAGCAGCTTTTTAGAATTATGTTGATTTTTAGGTATACATTGAGGAGAATTCAACTTATACTACTGACATAGCACATCCATAAATCAATTATCGACTGTCACTACTAATAGTTTTTTTCGCTATTGTGTAGAGTACATGGGTAAACCGTATTACCTCTGTTTGGTATACCAGACGATAACAATATCGTTCTGTTTAATACTGATGCACTTATTTTTGAGGTTTGCCGAAAACACATACCACTGCAGTGAAAACAGTGGTTGAATTATCTTTTTCGAGACACAGATGCTAAAACAGGAGGGATTCATACCTTTTAAATGAAGAGATCTGAAACCTGAAAAGTAGGAAACATAACCCATATACTTCTAACAGTTTTGAAATATCTTAACGAGGAATGAATATGTTCAGCTAGATATAAATGCGTTATGGTATATCCTACTGGTTAACTTATGTAAACAGTTGATTACCATTCATATCAAGCAGTGGTGATTGCTAGCCAGATCTCTGTGATCTAAATGCCGCACGGCCACTCTACTCGTTTAGGGCCTATCTCGTCAGTGTTTTGCCCGGTATGACTTAGCGAGCAAAACGGCCATCCGGGGTGTAGACCATTTCGATCTGGTTGGCAAGAACTACTGAGTGATATGATTATTATCCGATTACTCATATCAATCGGTCAGTAGCGTGCACCACGACGCATTCATGAATTCTCTCTCGTCCGTCAATTATGGTACAAGGCAGATCACATAATTTAATTTTAAATTTCAGCTCAAACTATATAAATTGCAAATTGTGATTTTGACCCAGATAAATACATTTTTGGGAAAATACCAAAACTTCTTAGATACGTGCTTTCAAATTTCAGAAATCTAGTTACCGAAACTTTGTTTCAGAACTCTATGAAGCACAATAGTCTAACAGTTTGCAAATGCTGTTATTGTTAGTTAATTCATTAGAGAAAACTTTTAATTTCCCGTCAGAACTTGTCCAATTTCGTTCGTATCAAAGCATTAAGATTCAGTACCATGATCATGAAGCGGGATACTGAAGCTGACGAATAGAGCTGTACAATCTATATGATAAGTTTAGCCTATCTAAAATAAGCTCTAGGTAAGAATGTTTCAATAGGCGGCATGTACTACTCAAAAGCTAATCATGACAATAAAGTCAAATATGAAACTGTTTCAGTGTGCATATGCATTAGGGAAGACTTCAGGGCCCCACTCTCACATGTATTACTCACAGATAATATTGAACAAAATGGTGTTATAGAATTGATCACTATTGAAAATAAGTAGGCAAAGAACTAAAATAACTAGGAATCTGTAGTTTTTGTTATATTCCATATAAATAACAGTCTTTGTGATCACTACGTTCTAAGTGAGTAGCTTTTTTCAATCACAGTTTACAAGATTTATCTGTAAACGCGCAGCTAGAGTTTTGAAAAGTTGTCAAGTCATTTTAACTTCATTGTATAGTCGCATTTATTTGTAATTATTATTATTATTTAAAAATATATTTATGTATTTTTCTATATAAACAATTTCGGCGGATACTCAAGATAGTGATCCTTAGCTTGCATTGTCCAAAGTCTATAAATAATGATTTTCAAGTTTGATAAGAAGTAAAATCGTTTCAGTATTCTCTGATCCACATATTGTACGGTGTTGGTGAGTACCTTTGATCGTCAGCTAGGATAGCAGTTATCAGCTTTAAGACATGTTCCTTCAAAGATTATACTGTTGTAGCTCACAATTTGGACGAGAACACGTATGCATAACTTAATTATATCCTCCTCGCCCGCCAAACTTTCACAAATGTGCATGTGCCGACACAATCAGTATTTACAACTTCTTCGATTATATTCTTCTATTTAGGTTGAACAGCTTCAACTCTAGTCAGTTGTACTGAATTCCTAGAGAATAACTGACTGACTTCTGAGGTCTAAATTTAATACTCAACTAAGAACATTTTAACGGAGTTATTTGTTCTGTATGAAATTCTTTTAAATTTAAATAGTTAATAAACTCAATAGCATAATTTGTCAAGCTCTCAGTGTGCATTTCTGTGAAGGGGAACAATTACTAAACTATGCTTTACTGCCACCATGTTTGTTTTACTTGATACTTTTTAATCTTATGTTTGTTGACTGCTAGAATTTCATAAACAGTTAATCTAAACAGTATGACAGCACTTTCATTGCGGAATGAATTGACTCTAACTTTTTTATTGTTAACAACTTGCTTATTTTTTCCTTCTTTTTTTATCCAATCACTAAACTTAAAGGTGGCCTTCTTCACGACATCATTCCTTTTCACTTTATCGTCCGATTTACCACCAGCTAGTACGACAATTGTAACAGGTGAACAAGTTCGACTGATGATGAAATCGCATGCCTTTGTACGCCATGCCATCAGTATTATATTTGAAGAAGATCAGAATGAATCAACGTCACCATCGCCAACATCATCTCTCACCAAGACATCGACAACCAATAATCATAATAATCATAATTCAAATCATTCCAATCTGTCAGATGACATAGATGAATTTCCTAACTTCTCACGTTACTTATACTTTTTATTTGCTCCAACACTAGTCTATCGTGAACGATATCCACGTACACGTTATATACGATGGTATTTTGTTTTCTCGAATTTTCTGCAAGTTATTGTTTGTTTTATATTTAGTTATTACATTTTTATGAGGTTTTGTTTCTTACAATTTTCACAACTTGGCAAATTATCAGAATTTTCATTTAAAAAGTATATTCTAACATCGACTGCTTGTATCCTACCTGGTGGTTTATTAATGCTGATTGCATTCTATTCATTTTTACACTCATGGTTGAATGCATTTGCTGAAATGTTACGCTTTGGTGATCGTCTGTTTTACAAGGATTGGTGGAATGCTACAACATTCAGCGTGTGGTATCGTACATGGAATGTAATAGTACACGACTGGTTGTACACATATGTATACCGAGATATTCAAATTCTTCTAGGAAATCGCTCACGTACATTAGCCGCAACAATTGTGTTCTGGTTATCAGCTGCTGTACATGAGTATATACTGATGGTTTCTTTGAGATACTGTCTACCAGTGTTATTTCTCTTCTTTGTTGTAGGCGGTTATGTGTTATTTTTTGTACAAGGCAGTGGACGTAGTTGGAATGTAGCCATTTGGATTTCATTATTTACTGGTTGGGGCCAGATGATTTGTTTATATTCTATGGAATGGTATGCAAGAAAGAACTGTCCACCTGTTCTAGATACTTGGTTAAATTTCTTTATGCCACACATCATATTTTGTCCTAGTATCAATGGAACCAGGTATGGTTAGTGAGGAAAAAACATTACATAACACCGGTCAAACAAAAATACAAACTTAAAACAGATCCCATGATCTTCATTTTTTCATTGTTATATCAATCCTAAGAAAATGAGAAAACGATTCCATTTTCTCCGCCATCCACTTCTTTTTCATTATCATGACGTCGAGGGGCATATTTTGATGTAATATAACTGGAGTTTTGATTATACGCTTTTCCAGTATTTTTTACAGATAAAAAAAAGAATTAAAAGGTTTTTTTGAATAAATCAGTCATATGTTCCCATTTTGTTCTTATAATCAGCTGATTTTCCGGATAACTTCAGACATAACTGTGAAATAAGCAGCAGAGACCAACAGTGTAATATCTGCCTTACTAGTTCATTACGAAGTAAAATATAACTCCACGTCATTGCACTGAGGTAATATCGGGTTCATACTTATCCGGCTTTATTCTTTATTTTACCGGTAGTATCCTCGGAAAGTATTTTGGGCATGGTAGGTCTGTTGGTAGAATATGGATGACTCTAAATTGTAGAGTTGTAAGCAATGTACGTAAATCATCAGTCGAAATTGTCAGTTTTTTCTGTCGTATTATTGACTCCATTGATTACCAACCCAGCTGAAATACCAACAGTAATGTTAGTGGATCATATAGCTAAGCACAGTTTATGCTAATCTGAATAAATGAAGACAGAGATGACACCATTCAGTAAATTAATAGGGAAGAACAGTGAAGTTACATTAATCGGTAAGTGCGATTAGCTTTTTGGAATGCGACTCATTTTGGTGGGTAGCGCAAAACAATGTTATACAAAATAGGTACGTCGATAATGTAAAGCAAGTGTTGCAGTTCATTTTTTAGTTGCTTAGTCATAAAATGAATTGATAATCTTATTAGGACATTTGACTGTGGAACAAATAACCTCTGGCAGAAGCCACACATCTTGAATTCAAACTACTATACTGAATGCATATTAGTCAAGCCTTTGAAGTATTTGTAATTTAACGTGGAATGTCTAATAGCCACTATTAATGTCACCGTCATGAGATTAAGGTACTAAAGAGAAAAACTAATCTTTTTTCAAAATTCTAACTTCCATCAATTGATTGACACTTTTCATAGGGTCTTTTATCATCAAAGCAGTCTAATAAGAAAGTTTTGATTATGGTTTACGAGTTGCGCAAACAATATACCTGTCTAATTTTCGGACTATAGCCTTAAAAACATGTAGACATTTTGTGTCGGTTTTCCAGAAAAAAGCCAATTTTATTATAAGAATTAAACATAGTTCTGCTAGGAATATCATTAGATAACCGTTTTACTTTAACATGAGAAGAATTTTAAGATGTGAAATCTCATTATAATTTCTGATTCATTTCATCATACTTAAACTGTGTTTCTAACTGATTTTGTGAAAACTATGATGGTGCGTTTTCATCTCTGTTGGTGCTCACACTAATAAGTGGGAAACAAGAAATTCGAAATCCAAGCCATGTCACACAAGTTAGCTTGTTATTCTCTGTTACCAGTAAAAATATTTGATTTCTTTCCAGCCACCTATAGTTTACTGTCACCACTTCGTTATTCTAGTTGACGCAGTGTTCAGAAAGCGCCAGTGCTATGTAAAGTTATAAGCGGTCCAGAAATTTGTAGAAAAAACTTGGGAGAGAGAGATAAACGCAATTTGCACATATCTTAAAAAAAATTAAAGCTTAGAAAACTTAAGACTTGCTCCAGGTAAACATCCTTACCAAAAGCAAACGTAAGTTGTGCTTCTCGGCTTCCAGCGCCACAACTATTGTTCAATTAACTTTCAGAACTCATGTGATACAAACAGCACAGTGTGGTTTTCAAATTTCTGTGGACAAACATCTTCGAGAAACAGGTTATGAAAGAAATGAAATATTTCAAGCACCTCGAAGATTTCTACTCTGAAAGACGTCAGTAGAGATAACACTTCAAAGATTTATTCACTGTAAGATCATCTTCATCAAAATATCGAGTGTTTGGAGGTTTTAGAGAAGCATGTTGCGCTTGTCAAACATTTCCGATAAATAATGATGTCTGTCCTAACAACTTAAAACTTCAATGACATATTACTGTATAACAGATGCAAGGCCAGAGAACACAGTTACTGTGACTGGTATCTAGAAAATCCAGATAGGCCTGAAAAACGTTAAGCGGGTTTTCCGGAAATCCATGAATGAGATGGTTTGCTCCGAATAAATTTAGTTTATTATTCAGTTGACAGAAGAATGTATCATGAATTAACTGGTAGTAGTAGGCATAAATAATATAAAGACTTTCCAGCTTGACGTGTTCTTGAGACGCAGTTTACTTTAGAAACCCAAAAATATGTCACAATGTATCATATGCTCGACACTGAATAGTATCAAATAAACGAAGAAATATTATACATACCTACAAATTTACAGTCATTTGGAACTGCTTATTAACTTTATAGGAAGCAAGTTTTTTACTAAAAAAGGTACTAAAGAAGCGTTTTAAACACTAAACCTGGATTGTACTTATGGGAACTCAAGTAATAAGACGTACATTTTAAATTAGTAAACGTGTAAAGTTCTTAAAACTGTTTTGTTCCATAGTCGATTGGTCGCCGAGAAAAGTGAATTACAGGCAGTAGTCAGATGAACAAGCTGCATGACTGAACAACTGAACACTGAATCTTTCATTAATCACAGCTCATCAGTGCCATAAGAAGAAACGAAGAAAAGAGAAGAAAATTTTCGTTTCGATGATTCATTTTCATAGGCTGTACAATCATAATTATATTTAACAAAGAATTCGTAAGACCAATCATATACTGGTAAATTTTTTTCTAGAAAATGTGCGGTGTAATGTAAGGTTTAATCTAGAAGGGGATGACTAAATGGAAATTAGAAAAAGAGTCACAGGTTAGGATGACGTAATAAGAGTGACAAGTAACAAATCAATATAATTATGTAGAGTGAACAAAAGCTAATGCATAGATGATAAAGTGTTCTTATAAAATCCATATGAAAATAGAATACTATTAAAGAACGGTGCGTCGGTGGCACAGTGGCTAGGATGTTCACTGACCATGCAGATGGTCCGGGGTTCGACGCACCGGCCGATGCACACCTGATATCAATGGTCGGCCTGCTGAATTTGGGTTACCGATATCACAGGCTGAAAATTGCATATTCGTACCGAAATACTGTGTGGAATCAAACTATAGTAAAATTTTAAAAAATAAATAAAATCACGATGATGAGCATAATAATACTAATAGTTAGTTTACATGATAAAATGAAGCAAAATTATAATAAGAACGTTACTGTCGCCATGGTGAGGTGAGTGAATGTATGTAGTGCTTTTGAACGCAGAGGTCCGGTTTCAGATCCCGAATCGCCAATAATCCAGCTATGTATAGATGGCGTATTCGAGGTCCTTTGGTGAGACACTGAGGAACTCTATAAGGTGAAGCACTCATGCAGGGATGCTGTATGTCCAGAGTTGACAAGGTATTCAAGGATAGTGATGTTGATATTCTTTTTTTCTCCTCTGGCTAGCCAAGCTAGACATTATCCCAGAATACGTTTGCGGACTTTGTGCACAACAGATAAAATTTGCTTCGCAACAGCAAGTTAATGGATAAATACACACTGAGATGGTCAAAAGCAGTATCTTCACCTTTGATTGAATTAACTGACTGATTGCTTTCAACACAGAACTCTACACCGATGTGCAGCAGAGAAATGAAGCAAAAAGAACAGTAATATCAAAGAACAATATAGTTTCATCGAGTATTATAAGTCACAAGGAGTGGATACATCTGCGTCATTGAGGACGATTTTGATTCATATCACCAATTGTCTCCAGCCATTGGTGTTTACCGTCCCGAGGACACCAACCAGGAAGTCTATCAGCCTACACCTCCCGACGTGAGTGACTTAGATGAATTGTTATGTATTTCATTGACTGGTGCCATGTTTTGGTTTGACCACCACTGCTTTTTTCCAACCTAACCCTATGTCAGCTAACATTTCCCGTTGAGGAAGGCGATGGTTAGGCATCCGTAACACACGACCTAACCATCTCCTTACCGAGCACTCGACGCCTAAACTCAATATTGCTTATTTTCTGGAGAATGTGATAAGTAAGGTAGCTACTTAAAATGTCTTCTTCAGATATTTAGAAAGGCAGTTATTAGGATTTTCTGCTTCGATGTCATTATTATAGGGGACTTGAAAATGAAGTTGATAGATGTACGAAGTTTCGTGGTAGTGTGATACAGATAATGTGTTCCAACGGAATATGATTCTCACATATTCCCACTGTTTAATACTGCATTAGCAACAGAATATGATGTATACTTGAGCATTCTATTTCATGTCGTTTGATGTAGACCGAAATCACACACTCAGTGATTGCTTATGGAATATAAACTTTATATATATATATAGTATCAGCATTCTCAATATTCTTTCATCATTTCGGATTTTTATGCTAATATATCATACATTTATCATTTTTAAGTTTCCTACAAATTAATTGGTGAGCCCTCTCGAACACTTAGATTGTAATAAACTGTATATTAATATGATTCTCTTTTTTTACTGCATATTTTTACATATATGTATCTATCTGCATATATTATGTTATCGCCCATTCCTTCCTTCCTTCGTAGGAAAGTAATGATGACGAGGCACACGACTCAGGAATAAACTCATTTGTCGATGTACGTCTATCTCCATTTAGCTTTATTGATCCTCAGATTCTGTTCACTATCACTAAGCGCTTATTTGCTGCAAGAGGTAACGAATCCCGGAGTACTAAATAGGAAAGCGTTTCAGAGGTATTACTTACAGAGGTACTTAATGATGTTACAGATCCATTCGACCTTGCCACTGCATATCACCAGTATGATCGAATTAAAGCAGTTTTGATTCAGAGGACTGACTCTAACAACTACTCACAGCATGTCAATTAGGTCCTAGGACACCACCTCAGCTCCTCAGACACA